GGGGGGGAAGGTATATTGAAATTACACAACCAGCAAAGAGCCAAGGTACAGTCGAACCTGCTCTAACAACCACTTGTCTAAGACAATCACCTGTATAAATGACAACCTCCCACTTCCCTACAGCATTTTTTAATACATTTTACAATGACACTGTTCAAAGTGTCCACCAGTCTAAGACAATCACTTTTCTCCTTGACAACGGGCGATCGTCTTTGACAATTTCACTGTAGTTATTGTGAAGTTGTGAAACCTTCCCATATACATACATATGTATATTACCGTAGATAAACAATTAATTTGATCAAGTGAGGATTTATTTGGGGGGAGGGTGGGGTGTCCACAAATAACGTCCATTTCAACACTGTAAAGGTTGACCATCAGGTTCAAGACTCAGATTTAACATCCCTCCCTAAACAGTTGAAGCCAAATGGGTGGAAATCTCAACTAAACTGTCCTCTCTTTTGCCCTTTTTGTGGAGCATAGGCCATCAACAACATTTCTCCAGCAAAGCCTGTCCTGAGCATCCTTTTCTAGCTGTTTCCTCGTTGTCCCCGCCTTTTCCATTTCCGCATGGACCGCTCACCTCCATGTCATCTTTGGTCTTCCTACCTTACGCTTTCCTTGTGGATTCCATGTCAAAGCCTGCCTGATGATGCTTGTTGGGGGTCTCCACAAGGTGTGCCCAATCCATTTCCATTTCTGTAAGTCTTCCTTTACTGGCCTTTGGCTTGTTCTTCCCACAGTTGAGCATTTGTGACTCGATTGTACGTCACTTGATTTCCACTATCCTTCTTAGACATTCACTTATGAAGCTCTGCAGTTTCCTTGCTGCTGATGCTGTGAGCCTCCATGACTCCATGTCTCTGAACCATACAGTAGAACAGTCTTCACGTTTGTTTTGAACATCCTCAGCTTGGTGTTCAATCCGAATTCCTTAGATCCATATATTCCGGAGGATGATGAATGCTGCTCTTACCTTTTGGATTTTGACCTTGATGTCTTCGTCTGTTCCCCCTGCCTTGTTGATAACACTTCCCAGGTAGGTGAAGGATTCAACATCTTCCAATGGTGTCCTTTGCATTGTGATAGGAACATCAGATGCATTCATTCGAAGAACTTTCGTTTTATCAGTGTGGATATGAAGTCATGTAGGAGAAGGTCCTGAGTCGATCTGTCTTCTGTTGCATTGGGTTCGACTGTGAGAAAGAAGTGCCTAGTCGTCGGGAAAGTCCAAGTCTTTCAACCTACTGGAAAGGTCCACTGAATGCCACCGCCTTGTCCCGATGATGTCTGCCTCATTACCCAATTCACTGCTAAAAAAAAAAGAGAAAAGGCGATAGCAAACATCACTGTCTCACTCCTGTTTTCACTTCAAACGAATCTGTCCGCTGCCCTCCAAGTAAGAAACTACAGCTCATTCCTTCATACATCTTCTTGATCAGTCTCACGAACTCGTCAGGTTTTCTGTAGTGGCGCATGACCTTCCATTTTGAGTCCCTACCTAGGCTGTCAAAAGCTTTCTCGTAGTCAACAAAGTTAACGTACAGGGAAGAGTTCCACTCTATGGACTGCTCCACTATTATCTTCAAAGTTGCAATCTGATCTTTACATGATCTTAAACTGTCCTAGGATAGTTAATTCCTTGATATTTCAAACAGGGTCACTGGTACAACTATAAAACTTGACTCTAAGTAAGTTGGTGTAGGTGTGTTTACACCCCCATCAGCACAATTTAGATTATTTATGAGGCAGGCTTCTGACCTTGCCTATCAGGGATAACCACTGCAGAAAGCAATACAACATCCCAGTAGAATGACCAAAACATTTGATACAAATTCTCCGCACACAGGAATCCAACTCAAGTCTCCTGGGTGTGATGGCAAAGTGCCTAACCACTCAGCCACAGACTCTGTTTGGGGCTCCCAAGGTCCAGAGGTACGACGTTCATCTCTCATTCATCATCATCATTGCCTTTCTCACCCTGGATCAGGAAATATATACGAGTAGGTCACGAACAATCTCCACCTTTCCCTACCCTGGGCTAGTCGTTTGATGTCACTCCACGTCTTCCCACTTTTCTGTACATCCATTTCCGTGACTCTTCTCCAGGTTCCGTGTGGTCTTCCCCTTGATCTTTCGACAGAGGAGGTTTCGGGTCAGAAGAGTCCTTTCGGCTTTGTCCGTTGTCCTTCATTGTTCCTGCTAATGCAGAAGCTGCTCCGTCTCCCAAGAAGGAAAAATTATAAGGCATGTTTGTTCGTGTTTCTATAACTTTCCTTTTTTACTGGGTCGGGTAGTTGGTCCTCCGCAAACTGTCACTTTTCGGGTGTACCTTTAGTCGCCTCTTACGACATGCAGTATCTCGGCAGGTGTATTCTTTACTCCCCCATTGTAAAACTATGGGGTCCCCCACCTGTAGGGGCGATCTCTCATTCAATTGGTCCCAAATTCGAAACCTGACCGCGACGAAGATTTTCTTGTTCTCTAAAAAAAAATGCTCCTTTCACATCCTTTCCTGTTCTCTATTCATGTTCTGTCGACTGCTTTCAT